CTCGGAATTACAAGTATGAGGTGTATAGAACCCTTTGAGATGTGGATTTTTCAAAGTATGCTGAAGATCTCTTGGACAGAGCATGTGACCAAAAATGAGGTGCTAAGAAGAATGGGTATTGAGAGAGAATCCTAAATATTGTAAAAACAGAAAAACGAGTTATCTAGGACATATTGCAGAGGAGAAAAATACAATTTCCTAAGACTTATAATGGAAGGGAAAGTGGAAGGAAGAAGAGGTTCAGGAAGAAAAAAATGCTCCTGGTTGATGAATGTAAGAGACTGGACACACATTCGATACAAGAACAGCTCAAGATAGAAAGCAATTTGCTGTAGTTATAGCCCTTGGCTATAAACATTCAGTAATGGCACCTTGAGAAGAGGAAATCTTTAAGAACAACAAAAGGTTGTACTCTTAATGGCCACATAAGAATTGACAACAAAGGGGCCAAATTGGAGATTTTCTTAATAAATGACACAATAAATAAAAAATCTTTAAAATGGAAAGAATAAAGGACAACAATTGGTCAAAAAAGTAGTTAACTACAGATCACGTGGAAGAAGAGACATGGGTAGGTCCAGAAGAAGACTGAACAAGCTGTAAGCCTAATCCTTGAAGTGTAGAAGATCTGATAATGGTCCATATATTTTTCTGAAAATTTGGAATTCAAGCAAAATAAAATACAACCAAATAACATGTAAATTATATTACAATAAAAATACAATTTTCTTTATGAATTGTTAATTCTAATCAAATATTATTACATAAATATTAATAGCTTTTTTAAATACATAAATTTTGATTTTCGAATATAAATAATGAAAATTACTAGATAACAGATCTTACTTTTTGCGATGTACTTATTTTAGGTTAAAATAGTTTGACTTTTATTGGATAACTGTACCATAGACACATATATTAACATATATTGAGTGACAATAACATCTTTTGTGGTTGTTCGATCTGTTTCTCTCTAATGCATTGAAACTTCCCTCTCACTCTCTCCCAAGCAAAAAGAGACTCTGCTAGATATAAGATAGAGACTTAGCTCTACAGACTGCTCCGTTTATGTTAATATACAGTGAAAGGGTAAATTATGGAATATTATCATTGTTTCGAGAACCGTCGAGTTTTGAGAGAAATCCCGAAACAGGTCGATTTTTGTTATAAAATACCCATCTTATAACGTACATGGAGTAGAGATGACGTCACCGGTGTGGGTGTAGAGACGTAATCGTTATTTTTTAAAAATAGAAATCGGTATAATGCGACACCTCATTTGAAGGAGAATTTAATTATCTATTTAACGATATTACATTTTTAACTAAAATATTTTTTTAAGGGTACAAAAACAATTGTTTTTAATTTAAATTCAACTAAATTACAACTAATGATTTAATTAATAATGTACTTTAAAGTAACCAAATTATGCTTAACAATTATTTTAAATTAAACGTTCGAAATTCCATCCATCGGTTTCTGCCATGAATTTCTGAAGTAAATACATAAAAACACAAAAATAATGATGGACAGAAAAAGTTATCTCATAAACACTAAAACTTTTTGTCAAATGTTAATTCAGTGATAGTGGCATAGTTACTTTTTTACTTTTTGAATCTCCCTTCTTATGAAGTAAGATGATTTCCGCGTTGTTCCACTGCGTCGGTGTTATCAGTTCGCACAGAAATTTATTGAACAGTTTAGCAAGTGTCAGTAAGAGCTTATTTCCTCCTAGTTTTAGGCTTTCGGTCATTACCCTGTCTTCACCTAGAGATTTATTGTTCTTCATCACCCGAAGCGCATTTTTAATTTCGTCAAAAGTTATGTTCGGTATTAATTCTGAACCTTGATTCTCTATCTTTGGTAAAGGGCATCTTTCATCGGATTCACTTGTTTAATAGAGTTGTCTGTAGAACAACTCTATGAAACTTTTTGTATAGTTACTCCTCCAATAAAAATTAAACATTTCTTAATACATATTATATATTTTACTGATATATAGTGAACAAGTATATTATTGCTTAGGTATAATAGGTGTTTTAATTCCTAATACAGATATATTGTTTAAGTTATGACACCAACTATAGAATGGGCCCCGTCACTTTTCTTATGTAAAAGTGATTTTAGTTCAATTGGGTGAAACTTTGCAGAGAGTTAGGTTTGGTCATGCTGATCAAAAGTTCTCATTGCTCCAATACTAAAACATCAAATTCTTCTGAGTTATAGAGTTTCAAAGTAAGACCACAGAATACACCACCCAACAAGAAGCAAAACGAAGAGTTTTTTCGCAATCCAAAGTTCTGTGAGAATCCGCCATGTTTTAAATAGTTTATCTGTCAACCTATAACAACTGAAGGTTGTTTACGTATTAAGAAGTGTTGTTTAATAGTAAAAAAAGAATAATTTCTTATACATATTTTGTATATACATAAGTATTTATTACCTTAAAAAAGTATAATAATATAAAAAAGTATAATATAATAGTAAAAGAAAGAATAATACTGTTATACATATTTTGCATATACATATTTTATTACCTTAAAAAATAGATAAAAAGTAATAGATATCGACTGATTTTCATCTCCATTTTGAAATTAATTCTCAAATTAAATCGCTTTTTTAACGCATTAAAATACTTTTATTACGTTAGTTTGTTAAAAAACAAACAAATCGATATTTTTGACTTAAGACCTTTTTACTTATCAGTACAGCATTGATATATGGGTTATATTAAATTTTACAGAAAAAAATACCATCATATAAAACAGATCCGCTTAAAAACCATTAGTTTTAATAATTACTTTGTTTCTCAGTGTAACTATAACCTTACTACTGTCACAGAATAATAAACAATCAGAATGCCCACTCTCCATGGAAAATTACGTACGCGTATCTCCTTCGCGCAGACGTTCCGCCATGTTTTAGAGGGAACCAGTGTTGTTTATGTGGTGTGCATAGAAAACTTAACCCGGTTTAATTGACTTACGGCAATCATAGACATACTATACAATTATATTAACATTGTTAAATATAATAACATAAATATAATATAATTAAACATAAATATAAACAATTACATAACCTCACAAATCATATGTCTGTGTTATGTGTTTCCTTCTAAAACATGGCGCGCGTGCTGAAAAACTTCAAAGGCGGCATCTGAAAGTGGACATTCTGATTGTTCATTATTCTGTGCTACTGTTTTGACGACTTCTTCATTACTTTTCTTAGTGTACTAAGTAGTTTAACTGTCATTCTCCCTCCGATATTTCTGTCCTACGAACATCAAAGGTACCGACAAAGCTTTCGCTTCTTATTGGGTGGTGTATTCTATGGTAAAACTAAAATCACTTCTCCATAAGAAGTGTGCAGGGACCCTTTGGCGGATAACACTGATTCAAATTTATGGATGCACCATAAAAATAGAGATATTATTAACTTGTCTGGTATATAGATTGTTCAAATATTATCCGGTTTGAATGGGCTTGGGACAACCTCAATTGGTCTGCCTAAGTCCCAAAGAACTAGCAATCGTCTTTTGGATATTTCAACTACAGCAAGCTTCTTAGAGAAGTAAAAATCTATTCCATCTCTAATAATCTATAGTGCGTTTTAAATGAAACAGAGTTACCTTCGTGTTAGTTTTTTTTCAGAAGTAGTTTGTTATAGTAACCGAGACTGCAGCCAATAGGCTATAGACCGACGGCTTTATGTGCCATCCAAAGGATGGTGACGGGTGAGTTAAATTAAAAATTGAAAAATTTCTGATGTTTATCGGAATTGAACTCGGGCCATCTGACCTTTTAGCCCCAATCATACATTAAATTGGCAAACATGGTATGTTTAATTTGGTATATCCATACCTTATTACTGTCACTGATTATGTTAACGTTGTAATAGAGTGAGTCAGAAAATATGGAATCTTAGTGTTTTTAATTTTATTTTAATAAAACTTATTCATCATCATATGTATAAGCCACTGTTTTCCTCAACAGTTTAGCTAGTATATATCCACTGAGCTATGACCGCCACTTCGTGTGAGTTCTACACCAATATAGCACTGAAATAAACGGATCAGTCGGCATTAGGTATTCCAAGTGGTCAAGGATGCTTGTTTAGAGCAGTTGAAATTTTTCAAACCAAAAACCTGAACTGTCAGATCTAGAAGTCAGGTCATTAAGTTTGTCTCTTCAAAAATCTAGGATTTTCCAGAAAGAATAAGGATAAAGTTTAAAAAGACTGCATTATTGATCAAAAATCAACCACAAGCAGATTTTACACTTTAACAGTATGCTCTTTCATTTATAACAAAATGTTACAATAAGGTATACATTATTAACTTATGTACACTGACAGATCAGTGTACACTGTACACTGTTACACTTCTCTACACTATACATTGAACGTGAATGGTAGAGTGACAAGTGAATAGGGAGCTCCAAATGTATGTATTTTGAAGAGCATGTTACTTGTCAAGATGCTGTCATACCCAGTAACAACTTATGTCCGATATACCCTTAGCAATCACCCAATATAGATGGCTGCCCACGGGAAATATCCCAAAAAAGTTATTTGTATGAAAAATATAATATGTAATACAAATTAAAAAAATTAAAAAGAAAGTCAATTTTAGATAAAATTATCAATACAATCTCTGTTACAAAAAATTCCATACTCCAGGTATAATAATCATAGTTCAACGATCCATCATACTTAGATTGCAGGATCTACATAAATAAATGTCTCGAATCTCTTTGAATTATTCTCACCGATTTCCTTTTCCACTAGATCCTCCTTTATTTGAATACGCTGCACTATTATGTTTACTTAACTGATTCTTCTATATAATTGTTGATTTGTCAATTAAAGTAAAACTATAAATTTACGTCAGAAATCTCTTCTATAATCCGTATAATACTTTCTGGACGTAATTTATTCATAAAGCAAGATCGAATCCTTTAAGTTCATATCTACTTGCTTTAAATTAGGAACAATCTAAATCAGAGCTGCAGCAGTTGAGGATCTACACTTGATTGATCTAAAAAGTGAAAACAAATAAATAAATTAATAATATGGTATAGTCTGTCCGCTGATTCTTTGCATACATGTTACTTTATTCACGAACTATTTATTGTTTTACTTTCAGTCCAGAGAAGATAAAACCACAATAAAGAATGATAAAGAAATTGGCATCGATCGCAGTTTGCTTTTAGCGAAGCACTAAGTACCTATTGGCTAGGTATTCGTATTTAAACGCACCTAGTATTACCTCGCACTAGGTATTTGCTATTAAATTACTGCTCCAACGCTGTAGAAATGTTAATAAAGACATACATACATGCTTTATAGAATACAAAAAGGCGTTCGAATGAGTCAATGTAAAATTAATAAACATTCTCTAAGGTTCCTCAGCCAGGAGATGCGCCTTCTTCCTATGCTTCTTCTTCCTATGCTTCTTCTTCCTTGGATCCTTCCTTGCATAATAATTCTCAGCAGCTCATATTTTTCTCCATTCTCTTTCCATCGCTCTTTGCGATGGAGAGCGACACTAAAAATACATAGATTTATTTTGTAAATAAATGTAATGCTTACGAGTACATGTTGTATAACGGACTACCCTAGTCGAGTAAATTGACCCTTCCAACTATTTCGTGTTGTGACGATCGACTCTACATTTTACTATAGAGAAAAATTCATATAACGCTAGTATAAAAGCTTCGATTAAAAAAAAAACGTTCGTTGCAATATTAGGCATTTTCTAATTCTTACATCCACGGTGTATGTTTGACTTAGACGTTTTGTTAATTCGTATACATTGAGTAATCCCGCATGTGCAAAGAATAAACGAACAGAGTTTATGGGAATACACTAAATTGAAAAACACATCGTCACATGTCATATTTATGATACTACAAATACCTTAAGCCATTTCTGTTATTCTATTATTCTGAACCTATTTTCTTGTGGCATTTTAAAGTAATTACTATTTAAATGGGAATAAGCCACAATTAAAGGTTACAATACGTTTATTTACTTTACTACATACTAATACCTGTCGCAACTCATAATCAGTAATAAATTAACATGCTGGTTGTTTAATCCCAGTGACATTATTATTTTTTTAGTACTACACTTCCAAAATAACTCGACGAAGTACATTAAATAGTGTCGAGTAACGAGGAGTAGGCAGATTTAAACCTCAATGCCGTTTGACGGTTCTTGTATTTATACAGAACACGATACTAGTACGTCACGAGTGAGGAAAGTAAGCAGATTGAGACCCCAAACTCGAACGAAACCGTATAAATCTTGAAAATGGCTCCAAAATGGGTGCCGAAACGTCGAGCATAAAATTCTCAACGCGGTTCTTCCCGAGAACTTGGTGATTTTAATTTATCTGACCGCGGAAATCTATTCGAACACACACACACAACTTATCTACTACTTGTAACGAATTATTTACTAGTATTACCTCTTGTTGGTGAAGTCGATCTGGATCTAGATTGGTTGGGAAGTGGCAGTAAATCTGATTCTGAATTCTAAAAAAAAAATTAATTCATTTTGTAAAATGATTTTTTTACCAAAATGTTGAGAAAAGATGAAGCTATCTCGCAATATTAATAAGATACCTTTGGTTTCTAATAAATTGCACACGATGTTGCAAAATACGATGAAAAAAAAAAACAACGTTATTTTTACACCTCGTATATGGGTAAACATTATATTGTATTGACATTTCTCAGAAAAAAATCGTACAGTAATTTCTTAGAAATAGACCCGTAATGTGAAAATAAATCTCCGAAATCTAATCAACAGTTCAGAAGAAAAATAGCTATTATAGATACATTTACCGAATTATAGGTCCCCCCTAATTACTTTCTGAAGTAGATTTCTAAAGAGAGCCTACACCTCTTAGATAATGCATCCTCAGGTGATGATTAAGAAACATTCACAAAATATTTAGTACCTAAGAGAGTCAAGCTGCACTAAAGATTTTGAAGGCCACAACTTATGAGTCAATAACAGCTGTTACTGCAAACAGTACTAAGCAACTAAAAGGGCGCAATAAAGTATGTTTACTATGGGTGCCAGTGCATAAAGGAGTGGTTGCTACAGAGATGGTCGACAGTATTGCTAAAAAAAGAGCTACTATTTCTCTTATCGGATCAGAGCCATTCTGTCAAGTTGTAACAATACGATCGTTAATAATCATCACAGTCAAATAATGAACTCGAATCCCTCCAATAGCTACTAATTTGCGCCGTAAAGTAGGCAACCAACAATCTAAGATATCGATTACCTTGTCATTAAAGGGAAAACGAATACTGGCCAGTGGCTATGGCCATGGTAATTTTAGAACAGAACTTTTCGACAATAAGGTTACAAAGGGACTTTAATTGCGGCAGGCAGAACTTGCGAGGAAGAGGAAAAAAATCTTCAACTTTCCCAAAAAATAATAAAATAACTTATTTTTTCCTCTTCCTCCAAGAAGTTCTACCTGCCGCAATTAAACTGAACAAGCTATCTCCAGGAAGTTCTGTTCTAAAATGACCATGGCCATGGCCACTGGCCAGTATTCGTTTTACCTGACAAGGGAATCGATTCTATTATACATCGATATCTTAGATTGTTGGTTGCCTACTATACGGCGCAAATTAGTAGCTATTGAACGGATTCAAGTTCATTATTTGACTGTGATGATTATTAACGATCGGATCGTTACAAAGTACTCAAAACCACATAATGGATGTCCTAAAATGGGAAAAAACTTAGTATAGCCCACACAGAAAACTTTTCAGGCCAAGGGCATGTAGAAGGGTTATTATAATCTCCTCGTAAGTATACGTTACTGCCTGCACCTATTTGGCACACATTATTTTTTGATTGAAAGTTTTTTTTCATAAAAATATAACCTACCTCCGCTGTATCCATAGGCTTTGATTGAGAAACCGCCTCTAACACTCCGCCCACAGCGCCTTCCTCCAGAATATCTTCGGTAATAATTCCACTCTGGTCAGCTTCTGCTAGATCACCGTCGGCCGTCTGTAAAAATAAACTTGTTTTTGTCATCCCTATTACATCTTTCAAATAGTACATTTAAAGATAACCAACTTTGGCAAATCTTTTTCGGTAATAGCGGTTATAAGCGTATAATTGTTATTTTTTTCATCTTGTACAAAAAATATAGAAAAAGAACAATATCGTGCGTATATTTTTTATTGTGATATATTTTAGTATACGAGGGTTGTGTTTTTAGTTTTGCATATAGCCATAAAGACAAAAAATATATAGATTTAAAGTACTTTATTGCTTTTTAAAATATGTATCACGAAAATCGATACATTTTTGCATCTATTGGGATTGGGATTTGTATACTTTGTGAACGTGAAGAAGTCATTGGGACTTAGGTCGGGGCTATACGATGGATGGTTTAACAATTCGATGTTTTGAAACTCCAAAAAACTCTATTGTCTTTTGGTCAGTGTGAGCACTTGCATTGTCTTGATGAAGGATGATTCATAAATGAATGCATAGACTTTATCTATAATTTCAATTATTAGTAATTCTTCGAAATATGTACAATCCAATATCTGTAGGTCATTAAGGGATTAGTACCCTTATCTTCGAAGACGTTTAATGTTATACTCATTTGAATAAATGAGGTATTGCAACTTTGAGTTGTATATACGTTTTGGGGAATCTGAGGTAAAATTCATTAAGGTAGCACGCTTCAGATGGATAGACACTTGAAAGGGAAGGACGGACGAATGTTTTGAGGCAGACCAAAGCTTGCGAAGATCTGTAGCTCCAGCTGATGATAATAATGACTAATAATCGAAGGGAAGATGGAAAGCCGAAGAGGAATAAGCAGAAGAATGATGTAATGGCCTTGCAATGCCAAATTTGGACAGGCAAAAACGTCCAACAGTACTACGAGCGACGCAGAATAGAGATTTTGAAAATCTGATCGCAAACCTCTAACAATGAAATGTATCATAAGAACAAGAAAGAAAACTGATCTTTTCACTAAAAAAAAACACTATTAACCATAAACAGTATTGCCGGTACTCCATATAATCAAGAAAGCCTACATATAATACTGACAAATTTAATAAATTACATCGAGTTGACGAAAATATTATTATTTGGCGTACTAAAGGGCCAAACGAATTAATGGATTAAATGATTGAAATTTGTATTGCCATGTATATAGTTTTAACAGTCTACTATACTTCATCTAATTTATATACCGTTGCACGTCATTATCTACGTCAGAGATCGAAGTTAACATAGTTGCCAAAGTATAAAAAAAATCCTGAATCCATTTTAAATCAAATAGGTCACATAATTATTGCAAAAGTATTGCCATCTCTTTACAACGACTAATTAAATTCTTATTTGACATTTTTGAAATAAGACACACTAATTTTGTTCTAAAAAGAACAGATTTTATTAAATAGGTAAAAATATAAAACAAGAGGTATTCACTTTAAAATTCAAAATAATAAAGTACAAAAAGTGTCAACACGCAACTGTCAAATAAGTGTTACCAATTTATGCCAAAATTCACCATCGTTCGATTACAGTTACAGTGTGTTCCGAACAAATGTTCTTCATAAAAACGGTTTATAATGCATTTATACAAATTAAATGAAACATATTACTGTGTATTAAAGTTAACATTAATAGAAATCTTTAAATATTATTTCTATGCGTATATAATAAAATATGTTCAGTGGCTGTAATGCCAGTGTACTCGGAAAAGTGATTCTAAAAAAGAACACACCTACCGCCTAAATATTTCGTGTTGGTATCATGTGACTTCACGGGCTATGGCGCCGATGACGTGCATCAGTATGTAAATTAGATGAAGTATGAGATAAAATATTGCTCAACTTTATCGAGAAAAGTTGAGATATTTCCAAATCCTAACTATTTACTTACTTGTGCAGAAATCATGACGTTTTCTGGTTCTGGTTGATGGTTGTTAGTTGAAGTGCAAATTTCATCTGCTAAACGTGCCAATCCCAGCTGTTCAATCAAGAAACACTCAATGTTTCCGAGAAGTTGAAGTTTCACATCACCTAACCTAAAATAAACTACGTGTAACAACGTTGTATTATAGGTATTTTGCCAACTACCACAGTGCGTAGACCTCCTGCAGCCTCACGCATTTTTAGAACCATAAAATTTTTTGATACTTAAACTAAGGTTTCATAGTTTTTCGGTGACGTATTGATATTTCAATAATCATTTAACTGTTTTCATCCGACAAGTAATACTTTCAAAATGGCAGCCGTCCACCCTTTTTAATGATTACTTTACTGAATTCCACTAAAAACTACGCAGAAGTACCTTGCTTTAGTAACCTAAATTATTAATTAAGCTTTATTTTTCAGAAAATCAGATATCAGCAATTTTTGGTACTTAAAATAAACATCTTCAGGTTTTTGCGCTGCAACTTTCGTGTAGGTGTCGTTAAAAATAACATGAAACGGCTTTCTAATAAGATGTTACTTGTCATATGATCTCATTTAAATCTATTCTACAAAATGGTATAATTCAGCTAAGTTTTATGGTTGAGAAAATAAGCAGGGGGTGGTGAAGGATATTTTAAACGTGCACTGTATTAGTTTTCATTCGCTTGTGTAGAGCGATGAATAAATAGATACATAATTAGGTTGTATTACCTTTTACCGTAATGACTCTCCAATTCCCTGTTTAAAAAGCTTTCTAAATGATGACGGAAAATTGTTTCTTTTGATATCTCCTTTACACATTCTAGTCCAAGTAACAATTGTTTTAGGGTCCTGGCAAATTGATTCTGAATCATGGTTTCTTCGTGATGATCTAGCAAAACTTGCATTTTTTGCAAGATAGAAGTGTAGACAGAGTATTCCTAAAAATACATTGATACACTTACAATATTTTCAAAACTTTAAAATTAAGATTCAACATCTATTACTTTAAGTATAGACTTAAGAAAAATCAATATATAAAGTAGCTTGTGCAAAAATACATATTATTTTTATTTCAAAACCTTTAAAAAGACCAGCGTCATTTAAAAGTAAATTCTACAACACATTCTATTTTGAATTTTTCTTGATGACTCAATATATCTATATAATATCCCAAGGGGCTCTCGTAAATCGAGATCAAGAATACATTCGATTTTTATATTTGGTTATCTAATATCTACCCTCACGTTTTGTTAAGGCTGTTTTAGCAGTTGAAGCACACTGTGATTTGAAATGGGCGTATCACTTACTTTTCTACACTGCTTACGCCAGACCATCTTTGCTCAGTGGCGCTGGCCGACGGGTAGTTTAATGACAAAAAATGCATTATTCTCCATTCAAATTAGCTTTAACACGAACTAACTGAGCGTACGTTCATGAGATTTGACGTCACGAAGGCAATAATGATGAAACTAAACGCCAATGATGAGTAACACGTTTCACTATTAGATTTTAGTATTTTTTAGTAATTTTCTTCAAAGTTGGAACACGCTTTTCTTGATTATTACTAGACAGGGAAAAGTGAAATAAAAATCAACGATTACAGAAAAAAAAACTCTTTTAAGTGATGGGCGTAAAAAGTTTGGTTATAATAGAACGTTAAACAGTAAAATCCAATTTTTTAACAGAAGTTCCAAAAAATAAAATAAGTAAAACCATCATGTTAAAGGTAACATAATTTCGAGACATTTTCTTGGTAACTAACAGAGAAAACACTGTCCCTAGGTTTTGGTGCACCGATAAAACAGCCTTAAAATGATGAAGTTAAAATGCGAAACAATTTGTGACAATTTACACTACTATATAAGACTACTTACATTATTGCTAGACGCATTGGAAGACGTATTTAAATCTAACGATGGTACAGACTGCACAGAATATTTTCGAGACTGGTCAACCTAAAACGTAATACAGTTTCAAAATTAAACATAAATTTAAGAAGGATTCCGTTTTTTTCTTATGTCTTCATTTCTTATATTCTACTTATTTATCTTCATATCCATTGTATAGTCGGCACGTAATTTCGTGAGAAAATTTACAGAGACCAAAACAAGCAAAATACTAGTAAAATGGCAACGCTGTTAGAGTTACCACTCCTTTTATGGAGTAAATAGTAGTAGAACAGTAGCGTAGATATCTAATTTTAAATTAAATAAAAGTTTTTACTTTTATTTAATTTTATTTACCAAAAAGTTTTATTTTCTATAAAGTTTAAATAAAAAATATCGGTGTTTTTAACTTTTGTGATATCTCTTGGGAGTGATAACACTAATCGACTCGACTGAACAGAACTTATTGTAAAATAATATCTATATAAAACATTGTTAATAATAGTAGTTATTCAGCGAGAATGACAGTGACAGTTTCAGTTGACATCCTCCCCTAAAACATTAATAATTTTTGTCCTATCAAGAAGTGTGTTTATACCCTGTTTTCAAAGATATATAAGCAAAATGAGAATATCTACAATTAAAATAGAAATAAAAGTTTCAACTAACACCTAATAAGTACTTAGTATCTACTCAGAATCGCTGTTATCACTAGTATCACTCGTATCATCTAAATTTATATGTAATTTGGTTAATGCTGGTAAATATTTAACATAGTTATTTTCCACTCCGATCACATGTTTTATTTTTATTACATTTTTCCAGTTGGTTGCTGTAATTTTTGTGACTTCTCTTCTAATTAACTGGAGAACAGTAGACAAAAAATTTTGAAGCAACGTTTCTTCTCATTATATTTCCTTTAAGTTGAGCCCATATTAACTCTATTGGGTTCAATGTACAATAATAAGGAGGAAGTCTAAACACAGTATGCCCGTTACTACGAGCACAGTTGTCAACAACATATTCCTTTTCGTACTGTTTACTATAAACAACCTCCAACAATTGCTGTTTAATATAAGATGTCTCAAAATACAAATCTTCCGTGAATAAAAAATCCTGAATTTTTAATTTATTCCAACTATTATTTGAAGTTTTTTTCATTAATCTTAAATGATATGATGCTTTGTCCATGATAATCACACTATCTTTAAGTAATTTCGGAAGAAGACATTTTTCAAATCATGATTCAAAAATTGAACTTTCCATATCGTCATGATAATCCAGAGACGCGTTTTTAATTTGTTTTGCAGATATTAATAATGCATCGTCGACCCATCCATTTCCTCCACCGCAGTGTAAAATTATAATTCTCTTTCTTTTATTGGGCGGTACACGAGTTGAAACACTTTTTTTTATTATTTGTCCAACTTTTTTTTCACGGTGTCATGAGTATCATACCAGGTCTCATCTAAATAAACAATATTTCGTTTCATTTTTCGATACTCAGTTATCTGTCTGATATAATTGTTTCTTAAAGAAATTATTCTAGTACTTTCCACTAATGTCTGTCTCTTGTCTATAGTTTTGTACTTAAAATTATTGGCTTTAAGAAATAATCGAAGTGTTGTTGCTAAACACGATAGAACACTTTCAATAGTTGGAAAAATATTAGCCCCATACATTTGGTATATTGTTCTAGTTATAGATTCAATTAAGTGCGGTTCTATTTTTCTGAATTTGCCACAATCCTTTCTCTTCTGTCTAGAAGAAGATGTTTCTCCTATAATTTTGTAGTGGGTTGCTTTGGGCACTCTGGTTAAAAAACATGTTTCTGCAATTGCTTCTGAATTAGACAATTCAGCACACATTCCTTCATAAACATTTTTTAGCATACGTTTGGCATCATCAGAAAGGTATTGAAAATGTCGCTTACGTTTTACTACACGCCTTTGTAAATCTTCCAATCGATTAGAGGGTTCCATTGTCTCTTCAGCTACATAATTATTATCGCACCACGGACGCAATATTTTAAAAATATCAAACGTATAAAAACATAATCACGTAAAAACGTATCAAAAAAAGTAAAAAAACGTAAAATATAAAATGTTTTCCGTATAAAGAACACTGAAAAAAGTCACTACCAAACTAACTTGCTGTTCACTATTTGAAATTTGAATTTAACTGAACGCCGTAGCAGTTATGATTTTACTAAAAATATTCTTGTCTCCCAAAAATCTGTTGGTCATCTCCGCAATTTAAAAATAAAATATTATAAAAATTTGCCTACCTAAGTTTTCCCCGTCCCGTGCCTTCGGCACTGGACGGTCGAAACCTGATCCCTTATTTTATGACTCCGTAAGCTCAGTCAAATACTGATATAATCTTACCCCAAGTATGAATAAGTCTACCGACAAAAGATAATGCATTATGATTTGTCCTAACAGCGATATCCGATGTTTTCAATGGCCGTTAGTCCACGTGGACTTGTCATAAGTTCGATGAAAACTTAATTGGTTGATTGTGAATATCTGGTTCATATTTTAAAAGATTATACCAGGCACGTCTGAATGTTAATATCGAGTGGAATCTGGAAACTGTATTATTATACGTCTGAGTCATTGATAATTTTACAGACTCCTGGTAAAGTACCTTTTTGTTGAATGATTTTATTACAGATACATATATTTTTGCACAGCCTCACGGTAATACGAGGCTACTATACAAATGTAATTACTATGAGATTCAAGAACATTTGTTCAAATGTTTATTACACTAGGTGCTGGTATTATTTTTATATGAAAATAGGTAACATGTAAAATGTATCAATTAATATCAATATTGTGTGTATGCAATCAAATTATGGTACCTGTAATGTTGAACTAACACTTCTGCTTCTTCCACAGTGCACTGGGGAAACTCGGGGGGCAGAATCTTTTTAAAGTTGCGTGGTTGATTTTACACAAAAATTGGAGTGTTTATATTGCTGATCTATACAAGACTGGGGTGCGTGTAGTCCGAAATAGCTTCATCACACAAAAGATATACACACACGTTAAGTAGGAATTAAATATAAAATAAAATAATAAAAGATAATTAATAAAAAGAATATGTATGGTGTGACGTAACAGCCATAATATATTCGACTCCCCTCTTGACAATCAACCGACAAGGAACGTAGAAAAATAGTTATTTCTGTTTAAATTGCAACTAGCAACTACCAGCAAGATTATCAAGGAGCTCATTGCGACATAGAGTGAATTATATAACGGTAAGTGTTTTAAAATTAGTATACTCATTTATATTACAAAAAGTGAAAAGTAACTTACTTGTTTATTTATATTCTGCGATGACGATACACTGGATTGTGTGACGTTTCTTTCAATAGACTGCAGTATATTAAATCTTCCGTTGTCAGACTTTATCATCTGCAGATCTCTAAATAGCTGAATCAGAAATTGCGGCCTATTTTCATTGGCAGATATTAAGGAGGCAACCTCTTTATATACGCTTTCTCTCATGGCGTCAAATCTAAAAGAAAAACTTGTTTTATAATAACCATCTGCATTCTGTGATAAGATTGATAAAAGAAATCTAAAGTTGTAAATGATTCTCTATACTCTACAGCTCGATGGAGGTCGAAGGACCATTACCGTTTTTAATATGGAATTTACTTCATATTAAATCATGAGAAAGGTGCTTATGATGTGAATTAAGTAGTTAGACGACCGAGTCCCAGGAACCAGACTACGTTTTGTAGATGATTGCAAAAGTGGAGAAAAAGAGAACTCTAGAGCAACTATTGATTTCCTCAAACGTTTCCTGATCGACTGATAAGTACACGTAGTACAATTAAATGGTCTGCTAGATCCTCCCTAAGAGCCCAACGATTTCTTTTTTTGTGTTTTCTCAAAGAAAACATTTCTAGGGATCAATTGGAAAGGGCCACAAACCTAGTCGAATTAAGGGCAAAATACTTCATTTCTCTGCAAACATTACACCAGCCCTACTCCAAAATATGAGGAGAAATCTGTATGACAGATTTGGTTACTGTTTAGCACAAGGAGGTGGAATATTTGAGCCATTAATTCATTAATTTGCTTTCCTAATTTTTATTTTTTGTTAGGTACATTTTACGAAGTTTGTAGGTTCTTAATTAGGCAGTATTTTTTATGTTAGGAAGAATTTTATTGTTTTTTTTTTTATTTAAAAGTACAAACGATGCTTATTCTGATTTTTTTTCTTCTTTCTTGTCTTATTGTTATAAGCTTTGTCCATAAAATTTGTACAATTTTCAGTGACAATAAAGAATTATTACTTATTTACTTACTTATTTATTTGTGTTGCTATTAAGGCTTGAAAATAACCAAAAAATTAGTTTTAGAGCATTATAATAAATATACTCTAGAGATGGGATTGCAATAAATCTTAATTCCTATGGCCAACAAAACAATGTTGTTATCTTATTATAACTATGACATCTAAAAAATGTTACTAACTTGGAAATTTGGGGTACATCAGCCACGCTTTCGTCTCCTTCGTCATGTCCCTTTGCTTCTTCCGGAATGTGACTTTCGGCGTTACTTGGATGGTCTAATAGCGGTTCACTGTTGGTGTTTGGATGACTCGGGAGCCCGAAGTACATGTCGGTATTGTCTTTGTGATAAACGTCTTTCGCTGGCTGTTCCGTCGCATCACAATTCCGCATTGAATTGTTCAATATGTCAGCGTGTGCTCCTCTAGATAGGGCGTCTAAAGTTTCTAGGCTATAAAGATTTCTTATTACAGATAAATATATAAGAATGGTACAAAAAAATACAGTCAGTTGTTTCATGTAGAATGTAAAATATGATTAGTATAAACTATTTAGAGCCACAAAAAAGTGCGCATAGGCAATTATAAGTGAATTATCTTCATTTCGAACTTCCTCATTGACCTAGGACTCACCACTTACACTATCACTATTTTAAGATTCTTCGGACAATAAATATGCCGTAAAAAGATGATCAAGCAAAAATACGAAAAATTATGGGAAAATAAAAATAATATAGAAGACTAATCTACCTCAAAATGGGGATTGTAACAATCAAACAATATTGAATAGATGTGACAATAATGACGAAACATTTATCATTAATGTTATCTACTATTTAATGGAAACAACCATAATTTTAATTGAAAATACGTTTATTTTTAATCAAAACGTCAAAATAAATTTATTTTCCAACTCCCAGAAAGGCGGCTGTATACATGGAGAGTGACAAGGAGCAAAATATGGTGGGAACTCCAATTGATTGACTGGCAAACGATATAAGAATATAATCAGATAAGTAGGAACAGATCCTGATTCTCATATTGGATCTGACCGCATAACTTGGTGACTAGAAAACTTGACATGAGGTTCAAAAAAATGCCAAAATAAGAGACAAACCAATCCAGTTTTTGAGAAACTAAAATTAATTATATAGGAACCGGGGCAAATAGCAACATTGACAGATATGACATTATTAATTTAAATTTCGCGCTGAATTATCTACCAGAGGTTGGTAAGTTGGTAACATAAAACCGTGCTCAGTACAGAGTCAGTGGACGCAGGTAATGCAAACTGCCAATTTTATGAGATAATTTGATAATTTAAGGTAAGTTTTCTAATCTTTACTAAACTTTTATAATATTTTATTATAAAATACAGTATGCAAATGCTCGCTGCTATTAAATGTGTAAATGCAAACATCCTTCACCTGCATTTAACGTGTTAATCGTTAATTTAACTAAACTTTTTCTGAGGTTATGCTTGACAATGTTTTTTACTGTACATTTGACTGTACATTTAGCAAATGATATATTTTTAGATGCGGAATTACAAGAAACAAAGGCCTCGCCCAAATGCTACCATCGTTATTCAGCATGGCATGAGTTTGAGAGGTGCAGCTGAAAAATTCAAGATTCTTGCTTGATACAACTGTTAAAATTAGTAAAGGTTGACAACGGTTCTATTCAGGAGCCCTCCCCTGTCAGTTTTAAACCTGTTTGTAGGGAAGAAGATGAGAAAACTTTAGTAAAACATTTTTTCTATATGCAAAACAGATTTTACCGACTTAAACCACTTGATGTCCGTAGAATTGCTTTTGACTTACCTGAAAATCTTAAAATACTACATCCATTCAATAAAGTGTTGAAGCGAGTAGGAGAATATTAGCTGACCGGACTGTTAAAACGTGGTCTTCAGCTTTCAGTACGAAAGCCTGAAGCTACTAGTCTCAACAGAGCGATTGGTTTTAATAGAAATAAAGTTATCCATTTCTATGATCCTTTAAGTGAAGTGATGGACAAATTCCGATTTACACCTGACAACATATATAATTTTGACGAATTGGGAATCAGTACAGTACAGAAACCTAGTCACATATTAGCTTAGAAAGGTCAGAAACAAGTCGGTTGAATTGTATGTGCTAAAAGAGGTTTTGATATAACAGTGGGATGCGCAGCATCAGCTTCAGGAAATTATATTCCACCTTTTTTTCTATTCCCTCGTAAAATAATGTCACATCTTCTAATGAAAGGAACAATGGTAGGTTACGCAAATAAGTCTGGTTTGATGAACGAAGGCTCATTTTTTCATATATCTCGATCATTTTGAAAGCCTTTCAAAAAATAGCAAATTTTGAAAAGGCACTAAAGTGACAAATTTTCCTTGTAATAGAGATGTATTTGACGAGACTGACATTCTGCCGTCAACCATATATGATACTCCTTCCCAAATTTGGATCTCGAAATATTCACCTCCATAGACGTCCGACTCCAAATCAGCAATTGTCTGCAACTTCAACCGACAAATCTGATAATTATTCTCCTCAACCTGGCCCCAGTAAGCAAGCTGATGCAGACATCAATGCCAGTTCTTTCACAGACATACTTCAACCGCTGCTTCCAAAACTCAGCTAACATAAGAAAAAGCACAAAACCCATGGACGTATAAACACAGATGGACTCAGTTATTTACATAAAATTGTGAAGTCAAAATTATTTGAATAGGTCACATTCTCAGTACCTTCAGCTGTTGTCACGTTTTGTTTTAAAATTTCTTATTCGAGAGTCGCTGAAAATATTACTCCGTATTTTATACTTTACAGGTGCTATCAAACCAAAATAATAATTTATTGGTTAGATTAATATATTTAATTGTAATCAAAATATAAAGTGTGCACATAGTGTGCATTATCATTTATTAATAGCGTATAATAGATATCAATAAATTATTTTATATGTAGAAGCACTGAAAACTATTTATAAATGGCAACGGTTGTTTACATTTCTCTGTCTTATGGATCTACGTCAAACTTCAAATGCTGTTCCATGTTTGTTTACTTTTTAGTAAAAGTTTTTTTTCGATATTTTGGCTGTATTTTGAGTGATATTTGTGAAAAGTGAAATAAAATAAACGAAATATTTACATCCTGATCTCTCATTTCATTTGTAAGTACATACAATTTACATTATTTAACTTGAGGAAATGAGGAAGCGTGTTTGTTTACATTTTAATAGGCGGTTCCATTGGGTTTATTCATGTTCATTAATGTATTAAATAAGATATAAACTTCATGAAATTAGTAGACATTTTTAAATTGTAAGTAGACATCATCTGATTAAAAAAGATCTATTTAGTACCTTTTTAATTTAATATTTCTCATGGATGCAAATAAATTAGTGAAATAAATAAAACTCATTTATTTTTCTATGTAGGTTTCCAAATAATATTGACGATCGAACTATTTTGGTAGCAAATTTAGGAGAAAACATAAAGATTTTTTATTGTAGCATTATTTTGATACCTATTAAAAATTAACTTGAATTCAACTATATTTAATGGTATTAATTTTAAAGCAAATAAAATTGTATTTTAATTTTTCTATAAAGACGTGATTTGTTAATAGTTAAACTCTCGTTTTTTTTTAATTCTTTGAACGTGTTTTTATAAATTATTACTACTTCCAATTTTTAAAATCTGAATAATTACCCGCGAGTAATAATTCAAGCACGCTTATGCTCATTGCGGAAGCATCACATTCTATCTGCTTAAAGCTTCAAAACATTGTGTGTTAAAGGTATCTTATTGCTGTGTCCATCTATGTTTATATGTCCATGACAAAACCGATACTAAAAAGGAGATATCTAAAATTTTGACAAGCCCCCCAAATAACAATGATCTTGAGAAACAAAAGGAAATTAGAAAAATTAGAAGGATCGCAGTGACAGTAGTGAAGATTCAGATTGAGGGCTGAATAAAGTGTCAGCAAATAAATGGGAATATGATGCATGTGCTGGTTTGGAAGAAGACGGAGATATGTTTCTATGCGAATTTTGCAAATACTAACTGATGGTCCAATTTTTTCCCGCATTTCACTTTAAGTTGAAGTTTTTTTTAAACGTGTTACATTATTTGCATTTTTTTAAGCATTATAATAAAAATGTTACTCAAAACTATTTAGTTAGGGTGGTGTTTTCCATTACTTATTAAGTTTGGCAGATGCAAGTGAAAAATTGTTAGATATTCCTTTTTGCCCGGTATCCCCTACTAAATTACATAATACTTACCCGGTATCCTTTGTAGTCGTTCTTTGAGGAGTATTTTCTTGTGAAGTACTAGAAGAATCTTGCTCAGAATTACTCTTCCGAGAGAATGACATAAATGCAAATGGATTGATAACCAAATTTGGTTGGTTACCGAAGTTAGGACGATCGATAACTGGTGGAAGATTTTGTAAAACTCCGGTGTTTTTAGTAGATAGAAGATTTTGGCGGGAATAACTATAAAGCATAATACAGATATTTATTAATGCAAAATTATTTATTTTAAAAATTGTAATGTCTTTTTATATTAAGCAGCTTGTGGATGTTATACTTATACCACAGAATAATAAACAATCAGAAGGGCCACTCTCAGATGCCGCCTTTGAAGTTTTTCAGCACACGCGCCATGTTTTAGGAGGACACAGACATATGATTTGTGTGGTTATGTAATTGTTTATATTTATGTTTAATTATATTATATTTAACAATGTTAATATAATTGTATAGTATGTCTATGATTGCCGTAAGTCAAATAAACCTGGTTAATTTTTCCATGCACACCACATAAACAACACTAATTTCTTTAAAATCCTCCTAAAACATGGCGGAACGTCTGCGCGGAGGAGATGCGCGTACTTAATTTTCCGTGGAGAGTGGGTATTCTGTTTGTTCATTATTCTGTGCTTATACTTAACTGCTGTTGGTTGGTATTTCGGCCGTTTTGTAAATCGTAAATGTCAGTGCATGACATTTACGTCATTATGACTGTCAATATAAACGTTTTAATACTATTTATTATTTTTTAATTTTTTTTTTGAGAACGAATTCCGAAGTGAAAATTTAAACGTCAGAATCTCAAAGCTGTCAAATTTTTATTAAAAAATGGTAAACAATACATTAGGTTATGTATAATGTCAGTCTGTTAAGTGGCTAAAATCCCAACTGCGTTATTTTCTATATTACTTACCTTCTAAAATTGTCCCAATAGTTGTTAGCTCTATTCCCAGGCACAACTTGGTTATTCAAAGCTTGACCAGACCACATATGATTCGGCACCGAATGCGCAGGAATACTGCTCTCGGAAGTATTATGATGGATGTTTAATCTATTAACATTTATATTATTCAAGCAAGATTCTAGTAGCTGGCTATTATTGTTGAGGCAATTGAGAGGCATATTTGGTAAGGAACAATCGAACTGGTCTGGCATAGGCATGGCAAATCCGGCATCTTGATTGATTTTTCGATCAACCTCTGACTGGTGGATCCGTCGGTTTGGCGAAACTTGGGAGTTCGTTTGGACAGGGACTGGCGAATAGTTATTGGCTGGTCCTATATTGCAATGCTTCAGTCGTTCTTGAAGCTAAAAACAGTAGTTTTTATAAAATACGCACTATTTTTGAAACTTGCAGCTATTAAAAGTAGGTTTGTCCATAAAAAATAATAAATACAATACACATCTTACTTTTATAATAAAAAACATAAAAACCTAAAACAATGGTCTACAATCCACAGAATATACTGTCTAGAAATATTGATAAAAGTTTTTACTATATACTATAAAGTTATACTGAGAGTAGTCTCCTCAGCCTTATGTATAAGTTGTTTACGCAAATAATAGTTAAAAGACTATTAGTATTAAGTATAATCGACAAATAAAATATTTGTCGATTTTCATAAAGCCCTTGACCCACTTGAGTTAAGCAAAATACTACAGGAACTTAAAGAATAGCAAGAGCAAATATTATCGTGTAGTAAATTCTCGTTCTCATATGGCCACGACAAAATTGGGCTACGAACTGCTGCTCCTCCACAGTATTCTCCAGATTTGGCCCCGTGTGATTTCTTTTTGTTTCTAAACTTGAAAAAGTCACTCACCAAGCAGACATTTGCGTGTAATGAGGAGGTTATCGCTGTCACGGAGGCCGTTATCGAGAAAATGTATTTTTCAGACGGGTTAAACAAGTTGAAGCATCGCTGGGTCAAGTGTATGAAGCTAAAAAGATACTATATTGAGAAATAAATCTCCAATTTTCCAAAAATATTTATCGAATCACCGTCGTGTTTGTATACAGAAGTGTTGTATTACAAATTATGTCCAAAGAAAACGAAACATTGAGTCGCTCTTTTATAGATCTTAAGCAAAAATGACGGGATCTACACTTAAATCTTTAGCAGATAATTTACAAATTAAACTGAGAACTTACCATTGTTACATTATTTTTCAAAAGTCCCATTTCCCTCTGCTGCATCCAAAGCATCTGATAACACTGATTCAAAGTATTTAACATGAACGATTGCGTCTGCATTGTGTTATTAGACAACCAATTGTAATATCCAGCAATATCATTGGGTACATTATTACACATATTTGATGGAAACCAGTGGGGTGGTACTTCCGGATTCGGATTTGCTGTATTACCGGTGTTAGCACGTTGCGGCTGTGGCGCTGGAGGGAGCGGTTGTGGAGAAGAAATGAGATTGTTACGTAATTGCTGCATGTTTGATGGATTCTCTTGATTGACTTGCTGTTCCAGTAACGTATCGCACATGCTTCTAATCATTTGAAGTTGTTTCTGCATCTAAAACAAATTGCAAAATAATTTCCGACATTCGCCATAACGTGAGCGTGATCAGTAACTCGTTAACGAATTTGCCATATACATGTCGTGTACAAAAATTAAATTACGTCTTAAAGGGATGGACTAAAAGTGTATTCTCAATGTCAGATACTAAGTGAGTGAACGTCTCAGCTTTTGCCTTTTGTATTTTTAAAGTGAATACTTCTTAGCGCTCGGTATGATATTTTAACGGGCCTGAAATCCTATTAAAGTTATTAAAAATTATAAAAAATTAAATAAAAGTAAATCAAATTATAAAGGTAAAGAGGTAGAATACGAAAACATGTTGTTGCTTCCATAGGAGAATGCGTTCCAGCAGAAAGAGATAGTGGGAGTAGCCTTGATAGACCTCACAGCGGCCGATAAACCACAGAACCTTGCTAACTAAGATCTACAAAACTGTGCTTGACTGTGCCCTGGTAAATATCATTAGATCACTGTTGTGTAATAGACGTTTCTACGTTGTGTTAAATGGAAAGAAGAGCAGATGGAGAACCCAAAAAAATTACCTACCTCAAGGAAGCGTTCTGAAGCCGTCCTTATTTAACATCTACACCAACGACTAACCAATGCACCCTCAGACTGAGAGTTTTGTTTACGCTGACGACCTTGGTATAGCCGTAAAGGGGAAAACACTCACACAAGTAGAGTTGACAATGGAAGAGGCTTTTAACATGATGTCAACTTACTACAAATAAAACTCATTAAAGCCAAACCCTACTAAAACCCAAGTATGTGCATTCCATCTCAACAACCAACTGGTACATGTAAAACTGAATGTTTTTTGGGAGGGACAACGCTTTGAAACATACTGATAGGCCCAAATATCTTTTAGTGATACTAGACCGGTCACTAACGTATAAATTTCACTGTCAGAGCACAAGACAAAAGGATTCTACGAGTAAGTATGTGTTCACAGGTATTTTATTGTTATTTATATTACTAACCTAACCTAACATGCTTGTTTACAGCAAACAGCATTTTTAAGCAGTTATTTTTATGAAAATGTTTGAATATATTTGCAATTTTCTGAACTTTCTAGATATATCCCGGTGTAGTTACTTACTTGATTTGAGTTAAGTTCTTCAGAGTTTGATCTGCGCGTTTTTTTAAAACGACTAGTTGCACCAACTGAGTTACTTCTGAAGTGCGCATCAGACACGTATGGAAGTCCGTTGGGAGGCTGATACTCACTCTGCTGAACATAGTTGCCACGCTGGGAGTTTTCCGGCTGGGAGTTAGCTAAGCCAGAAGGTGAATAGTTCAAGGATGGAAGTGATAGAAAGTTGTGTTTCAGTTCTGAATAGTTATTTGCAGCGTCCGGAGAGTCATCACTGGAAAGAGAAAAAGAAAAACGAAATAACGACCAAACTTTTTGTTAATGAGTATCTTACCTTGAAAATCTCTCAGAGTCACTCTCTTGTGATATTATAGAAGTCCATGGGTCATTTACACCGTTAGTGATTGAGCTGATTTCAGATTTCGTGTCAATCCCAATGTCTTGATTTAAATTTGAAGCATTACCTATAAAATTTAAATGTAACAAACTCAAACAAAGGAGACTACATAATTCTTGAATGTAACGACAACCTTTGCCTATATAACATCTAAAAGAAATTTTTATCCTCTTTGTTAAGCTTTATCTTTAATGTTGATAACCACAAATAGGTCTTTCCTAAGACCAAGAGGAAACTATGTGCCAAGTTTCAAATCTCTAGGACAATCAAAACAACATAATCAAGACTATTACTTGCAAATACAATTATATAAGAATATACTAGATACTAACCTTTATGCTTTCCCATGATCTCCTCCAGCTCTCTCTTTTTACATTCCAATTCCGTCTGCAGAGCGATCTTCTGAGCAATACTAGACATATTCGCCTTATTCACTTGATTACCTCTTTCTCTAGAATTCGTGTTAATTTGTTTAGGTCTGCTATCACGACTAGTAACGTTCGCATTTCTGAACATGTTGCTGTCATTGTGAATGCGAGATTTCAGTTTCGGTTTCTTGATGTCTTTCTCTCGGAATTGTTCTGCTGATGAACACAAGTAACAACTGGTTTTTCTGTCGTCGAAGGGGTTGTTTGTGTTCTGGAGGACATTATCTGGCATTTTGACGACTTCGAGCATATCTTTTAATTTGTTTAGTTGTTCTTTCATAGCACAGATTTTTTTGAATTGATTATCTAAAAAACAATAAGGGATTTGACATTTTTAATTTTCCGACTTTCCCAGGAAAATGAAAATTAGCCAGTTGTTAACTGACGAAATATTAAGTCGAGTTACCTCGGCTTAAAAAGGAATGACGGTTCTATCGTCAGCAAACATAAGGAAAGAAACAAAGAGGAAACAGGAGGCAATGTGATTAACATGGTTATTGAACAGAAGAGGTCCTAGGTGTTATCCTTGTTGTAGTCCTGAAAGCACCTTAATCCCAAATGATTGAAAACCCTGAACACATACTAATTGTATTCTTTCAGTTAGGTAGGATAACATTCTAAAAGTTCACCATAGATACCCAGACTCCTCAACTTATTGATTAAAATCTTGTGATTTTCCCTGTCAAACACCTTTGTTTTCATCCCATTTTTTAACGGTTAGTTAAAGGCATTTATGCAAAAATAATTTGTTTTTCATATATTTACAATTTAATGTTTTTTCTTGGCTGCACATGATTGTCAAAAAATAAAGAAAAATTCAAGAAATAAAGTCAAAAGTAAATGTTCTAGAGCACTGAAAATATAGACAGTAGTTTTTTATTCTTACCTGTATCTTCATAAGTATCACCAAAGCTTTGTAACTGAGCAACCAATCTATCTATTTGGAATTTTCTATTCTGCAATTCTATCATTTTTTTATGGAGCTCTGCATGTTCTGAAGCGAGTTCTGAGTCTGTACCATCCAAAGTTTCAAGCAAGCGTTCATTTTCGTCATGACTGTTATGCATGCTAATAATGTGATTATGCAGGCTATCCACGTTAGGTAATCCTTTCTCCTGGTTGGACATTACGTGAGGATGTGAATGGATTGTCTTTTTCATTTCGCTTCTATCCTTTGATGACGTGTCAAATTCGATATAGTTTCTAATGTCTTTGTTGGATGGAGTATGAACATCATTACAAACTAAAAATTAAAAAAAAAGAGATCAAAAATGTAATAAACCATATTAGAAGTATAGTATAGAAATATACACAGAACAAATTTTAAAATAAGAGTTGTATTTAAAAGAGATAGGGTAATAAAATAATGAATGAAACATTGATCCCAGAAAGGAACTTATTGCAGTAAGTTGCACATAAAATTTTTACAAGTTTTGTGTATTGTTTCTCAGTGTACTTACTAGTTTGTCTCTACTTAACAATATAAAATGAGTCACTAATACCTTCTAGTAATAAATTGCTTTGATTGTGTCCTGGGGAAGATCGTTTGTTTTCAGATTTTCTCCTTAGTGGATACCCCATTTGCTGACAATCTTTCAAAAATCCTAAATTGTATCCTACATTCTCTAAGTTTACATTCTCTTCATTTTTCCTACTGGTGAATGAATTTTCTACAGGAAAATCATCTATCCTACCTGAAATCTAAAAAAAATTGAAAGAAATTCTTTTATTTCATCAGGAAAATTATTACTATTATTATTATTATAAAATAAATAAAGATAGAGGATCAGGCTATTATTATGTCCAAAAAGAATGAAAAATAACACTGTAAAACTAATAAAAACTATAGAAAATGAAGAAAAATAATAGTCTCAAGTCTGTTTTAAAAGTGTCTTAGTAGATATGTTTCGATCCAAATTATTTCAGAGACCTACAAATTCTATAGACCTACAAAAGGCTTATGATAGCGTACCACATTATAAATTATGGGAAGCGTTAGAGAAAACAAACAAGCATGAATTTAATTAAGATGACGAAAGAACTGTACGCTAATGATAACTCAAAGGTAAAGGTTGGAAATAATCTGTCCAGTGAATTCCAAATGAATAAAGGCCTTAAGCAGGGTTGCTGTCTCTCCCCGAAATTATTTAAAATTTATCTAGAATAGGCTCTAAAACTGTGGAAGCGCAAATGTAGAAATATGAGAATGCCAATTAACAACAGTCATTAAAAGTATAATTACCTACAGTAGTGAAGTATGGCAAATAAAGGAAAGATATAAGAGAAAACCAGGCAACAGAAATGGATTTCTGGAGACATTCAGCTGAAAAATATAGACAATAAAGAATAACGAACAACAGAATAAGAGAAATTATGAAAGTAAAACATACAATAGTAGACGATATTATGACTGTACCCAATAATTCAGACAGTACAGTCATGTACAGAGAATGTCTCAAGAACATCTCCCAAACAAGTCTTAATGTGGACCCTCAAGGTAGAAAAAAAAAAGATGAAGACCCCGCCTTAGTTGGAGAGAAGGCATCAATGGAGAAATGAAAGACAGAGACATAGAAGAAGACTTGTGGATGAATCGAGAGGAGTTGCAACTGGGTATTGGAAGCTGTAGGATAATGTTTTAAATATATATATTATTCCAGATATTAACAATTATGTAAGACAAAAAGTTTACTCTGAACCTTGCTGTCACCTGTCCTATTTTTAACTTGCATGGTGAATTCTTAAGCGTTTTGGTTTAAAGTACATATGATGCTCAATTTTCCAAAATTGTATTTTAGAATACGGACAGACATTCTTAACACCTCTCTATTCAGCATTGATGATTTAATTTCACAAGAGATGAATCAATATCATTAGTTAACTGAGTGGCATATTGTCACAATATTGTTATGAAGGATAACTGACAGTGAGTAGAATGTTTTTATTTTTTTTACAAAGCAATTTAACTAAACTACTTACAGAAAAATTAATAATAATTCTAGAAACTTCTAGCAAAAATGATTGGACATTTAAAAATTAAAGTACAATATAGTAATTTCTTACCTGATCATCTGTTTTTTTCATACTAGCCATTAACGAATTTGTTACCTTCAAATATTCATGGATTTGATTCAACTTATCCTCTATTTGTTTCTTATTTGGACATTTTGTTATGTTGTCACATTTCAAAGTAGAGCTGGAAGCATTTCTTTGAGACGTTGGAGAACTGGGATTGGATGATCCTAACAAAATAAAACTACAACTCAAGTAACAGCTGAAAAATTCAAGTTTAAAAATGGCAATGGTGATTAGTCAATGAGAATCACTCGATTTTTCCTAGTTTGCTTCTAATGTTCTTTAAAATCCAATGTTACTTTTATATTACAGTATCTCTAGATGTACCACATATGGTGGTTTTGCTCTGCAACACCAGTGGTGTCCATATGTCACTATGTTCCCTTTATTTATTCACCAATGCCCTATTAGATTAGATAAAGAAACAAGCGGAATTTTCTTTGTGTACAAATTTGGCATTCAATAATATTTGTAAACTATTTCCTTATAAGATCTAAGATTTTCTTTTTCAATTGTGATTTACTTTGAACCAGATATTTGGTAAATACAATGATCTACATAAAAGTATCTAAAGGCATGTTTATTAAACTCAAATACAACTTACCAATAGAATTTAGAGCTGAATAACCAATTTGAGAGGCAAAATTGTGATTTTCCAGTGTAGATTCCACAATTAAATCTTTAATTTTATTACTTCTTCTAGGATTTTTAACTTCATTGGAAGAATCGCGAGAAGGATAGCAATCACTGGACTACAAATAAACAAGGGATAGACTTGTAAAAATATTTAAAATCACAATTAAATAAATCAGAAAAGACTAACAAAAGTTCTAACAAGGTATATACATTTGTTGATTTCTGTCCATTAGAATGTGAAAATTTTCAGCCATAAAGACCTATGAATTTTATCTAGTTCTTGTAAATTTACACCAAAAAAAAACAGATAGTTAAATAAATAAATACAAAGGTCCTTACACTGTTAGAAAAGCTCCTTAACCGCTCCACTTCATTAAATGGGCGATTATAATTATTACGTTGTTTCGGAACTGTACCAGTACTTCTTTTATTAGGGTGTCGTTCCTCTTCGGCCATTTTTAACTCTTTTTATAAAGGTTATTGTTAATTTCTATTTATTTTTATGGTTTCTCCCATTTATATTTATTTATTTGACACTTACGGGATTGTGTCTTTACGGTTATCTTCTTCTTTTCAATGTCAAATGCATACAAAACTACCAACAAACAACAACATTTACTTATACCCAGCGGTAAGTAGTCGAATAAAAGTTTATTGCTAATTATTTTTTACGCCTATTAAATTCTAAAAATTCTAATTTTAATCTATGATAAAATATATATCCATATTTATTAAATCTATCTCACTTTATGCAAAACCTTATATACATAATTGTATAATTGGTTGCATATACTATGGTGTTTGATAAAAACATTTTTCATTATGTTTTTTAAATAAAGTTTCAGAATGTACATTTAATAAAAAACACTAGAATGGAAGAGTTATTTACTCCAGCTACTGCAGATATTTTACGTGTACGGACAGTGATGGATAGTGGTTTTTATTAAAATTTGACCATTTACATCTATTTAAATTAATTTAAATCGTCTTGTATTAAGATTAAAAATTCACGGTGGTGTAAACTTCTTGTTTTTTTTTTAATTTCATCATTTTAACTATTCTTAACAAGTTTCGATTTTTACTGGAAGAACTGATCATGCTGATATATTAAAAGAATATAAAGTGAAGGTGATAATGTAATGTAAGTTAAAGAAAATTCCGAAATTAATCTAAGAACATTGGCCGTAATCGTAATATATTCCAATATTTCTAAATCGTCGTACGTATAAAACATTTTGCGCAAGGAAACTTGTATCCTTTTAATTTTAGAAAAATCTAGCTCATGAATGTTAGTGATTATCATCGCCGCGCTGATTTTCTAGTTGGTTACAAAATAAAGAAAACCAAAACCTAAACTTTTTTTCGTATATTTTTTTGTGACGAAGCCAAATTTGTCTCCCGATTTAAATCCTTGTGATTTTTGTGTGTAGACAAATTTTTTCAGTAGACGTGATTAGCTTTGGAGTCGAATTCAGGACACCTGCGATGAATTTAGAAACACTACGGTAATTTTGTAATAATTTTGCTATCTTTACGTATATGCACGGTGCAGCTTCCTTCCTTTGTATTTTATTAATTCCATATTAATACCATCTTTACCAAGGGCTTTTCCAATTTTGCTTCTCTGTATTACTTTCTCCAATTTCTCTAATGTTGGTTCTTTTGAGATTTCGATGTCTACTTCATCTACTTCGTCTGCTTCTTCTTCGTCCACCGTTTCCTCCTCGTTATTCATTTCTTCTCCTGTGGTTTCCTCTGTCAAGAGCTCTTTGTAATAATCCCTCAATATTTGCTTGTATTCTTGATCCTCTATTATCACTGTTCCCTCTTTATTTTTATTTCGTTTGTTTTGCGTTTGTATTTTTTGTTTTGTTCTTTAATCTTTTTGTAAAATTTTTTCCTATTTCTTTTGTATTTCGTATTCGTATTTCTGTTTGTTCTTTCCTGCTGTATTTCCTGCATTTTTCGTGTACCCATCTTCTTTTATTTTGCTTTACCACTTTCTTAGCCTTCTATTTTTCATATTCTTCTCTGTCTTCCGTCTTATCTATTCTTAGCCATTTAATTCTGGCTTGCACTTTTTTCCCGATATATCTCTGTATTCTTGGTTATACCATCCGTTTTTGTTTTATCCCGACTTTTATCTACCTGCATATTTTCTTCTTCTATTGATTTTTTGATCGTCTCCCATTCTGTCTTTATATCTTCTGCTTTATATTTCTCTTTTATTTAAACTGTTACTGCCTCTTCATATTTTTTTCTTAGTTCTTTATTACTCATTTTATTGACATTCCAATTTTTATGTTGATTTTTCTGTTTTGTTTCAATTTTAACTTTTTGTCTTATAGTGGCTGTAATCATGTAGTGGTCTGAATCTGCACACGTACCTCTAAATGTTCTTACATCTTTTATTGACAGTGGTTTTCGTTTATTAATCATTATGTGATCAATTTGACTGTATGTTTTCTGATCTGGTGATCTCCATATTACGTTATGTATTTTAGAGTGTTCAAATTTTGTTGAGCTTATTAACAAATTTGTTCTTATTGCTAGGTTACATAGTCTTTGAGAAAGCATTATTGGATAAAGTAATTTAGGTCAAATTGACCTAAAAATAAATTCTAGAGTTTGTAGTTTTCTTTTTTGAAGTGCGTTTTTGAACAATCCGTATATATATATATATATATATATATATATATATATATATATATATATATAAAATATATACAAAATACAAAACCAAAGTAAAATTACAGACAGAAATAAGAGAGCCAATTGAAATAACAACTTCTATATTAGATAGTAAAAAAAACAAAACAATTATCACATGAGAAACATTCTATGTTTGAGAATAATAAAAGAAGAAAAAAAAAATGAGAAGAATATTGAATGACATGTTTGTTGTTTCGTTTTGTATCACTGACTTTATAATTTTTTATTCATTCTTTTATTGTATATTGTCGATGTTGTTTTCCTTCTCCGTTAAATAAATTTTTTAGAATAGTTCCCAATAAAATTTTTTCTAGTTTTAATTAATTCTCTGTGTTTTTTATAATGTATAGGATCGTTAGAATGCATTAAATATGCTGTATGCTTGTTTATATGCATCACACAAACTGTAAAATACTTTCCTCAGACTTAAATTTACGCTTAATGCAGATGTATCGAAATTCAACGAACTCCCTTCTAAAGTTATGCTGTGCGAGAATTTCATCAACTTCGTCAAACAAATTTTTGGCATCTTGTACATTCTCAAGCAATTCTAACTAGAAACTAGTGTTCAAGATAGTAAATACCTGGTACATGAGTATGCTTTGAAGTCAAAAGTTATTAAACACACTTGTTCCAACAAATACTTCGGTGTCTACCAACTAATTGTAAACTAACTACCTAAGTACCTACCTTTAAATTATTGGGATTTTAAAGTATTCAGAGGCATAAGCAGTGGCGTATTCGGCAATATAAGTAGTAGTAACTGGACATTTAGGCATAAGCTTTAATTGGCTTTCCATTATAACAATTCTAGAACTATTTACCATTTTTTTACAATTTGGAAATGTTTCGTGGTCATCAAAAGATTTTAGCAACGATTTTTGAATTTTTGATCTATTTTGAATTGGAAATTTTCACTTTCACAAGGGTTAAAAGCTTTTGTCGCCACTACTCACAATGGTTTGATGATAGACTTCGAAGTTTACCAAGGCGCTAAAACAAACTGTGAGATCTCTAGGTGTGGAAGCTGCTGTGATTCTTCATGTATCTAAGTCTATTTCAGGTGGTAGTTGTGTATATTTCGACCGGTTTTGCTCATCTATACCTTTACTGGAAAAATTAATAGAAATGGAACTTCATGGGGCTGGCATAATTATGATGAATCGAATTCCTGATAGAAAAAATATTGATTTTGAGCAAGGTAGCAAAATGAAACGTGGTGAATCTCAACAGTTCAGTAGCAATGATATTGTTGTAAAATGGATGGACAAAAAATCCGTCCTAGTAGTATCCAATTGCAGTTGTGGAGATGATTCTTGTTAAATCAAGCGATGGGATAAAAGTTAATCAGCATTTACCGACGTTAAATGTCCAAAAGTAATCGTGAACTACAATAAGAATATGGGAGGTGTAGATATTCTTGATCAGTCCATAAAATACTACTTGACCTTCATCAAAACGAAAAAATGGACTCCAAAAGTCATTCTTAAAAGTCTAGAATCAATTGGAACGGGAGCATACAAAAATAAAATAATGGACTTATTGGAATTTCGAATGCAGATGGCAGATGGTCTAGTCAATGCCCCAGAACGTAAAAGAAGAACTGATATTGATGAACAAGATGAGAACGTGCGCTCGAATACGTCTAAGTTCCGTCGACCAAACCCACCTTCTGTGGCCAAAAGGTATGATGGGTATGACCATCTTCCATCATTTGATGAAATAGACAGTTCAAGATCGTGCAGACTGGAAGGTTGCAAAAGTAGATCTAAGGTACTATGTACCAAATGTGAAGTTTACCTTTGTTTGTCTATAAAACAAAACTATTTTGCAGGCTATCATACAAAGTATATATGTTTCAAAATAATTTTTTAGTCAATCAATCAATATAAGGTTGAATGTTCGAATAAATGAACTTTGATGGTACACAAGGCAAATATCGAACACAGTATTTAATTAAATCTTGCCCAAGTACTTTCGATCACAAGTCTCCGGCTTCTATAATATAAAAATGTAGCTTCTCCAATTTAAATTTTAAAGTGTTTGTTTGTCTTTAGTGTATTTGTTATGTCCCAGTTTACATGTATGACATTCGGTTATTGCTGGATAGGCCACAATTGACGAAATGCCCCTGAGGATGATCTTGTGATCGAAAGTACTTGGGCAAGATTTAATTAAATACTGTGTTCGATATTTGCCTTGTGTACCATCAAAGTTAATTTTTTAGTGTTTTTATTTTTTATGGAAAATAATTACTTTTTTTGTTATAATTTGATTTACCTTTAATATCTAAATTGAATACTTAAAAGTTTCTACTAGTATAAATATTAATTAAAAATATGTTTTCTATATTTGACTATGTTTCATATGTTTGAAAAATATTTGTTTGCTGGATCCCCCCACGCTAAGGGAAACGAGGGGAATTTTATAAAACGGATAAAACGAAGTACCTAACCTCTAAAAATACAAAGTTTGGCTAAAGTAGATATTTATATACAACGATTTCTATAAGATACAAGACCTAATTAGGGTTAAAATTACTTAGAAACTGTAGTCTATTTATCTATTGGATGATTGATGGTTCCACCAACTTCTTAAGGGTATTTTGTATTTCTATTTGAATCTGGCTCTATACTGGGCCATAATATATTATTCTTATGATTGATTTTCCTCAGTTTTATCAATATCGTGACAATATAAAAAATTATTTATTACCATAGCAATTAGAATTACTCTAAAAATAT